ATCGAGTTATATGTGTAACTCATTTTAATATTTCACTTTTACTGCTACTTTCATCAGTGTAAAATGTGTCTGTTCAGTATTTAACTTTGTGCTAACTAGCTAGCTAATGTTAAGCCACTCTAAAATGTACGTGTTGGTGACAATAAAGCTTTATCTTATCTTACTTTCACATAGGACGCCGTGGGCGCTGCGCTCCGCTATCAGACCCATTTATGTCTATTGCAAGAACATATGTGCGCTGGACCGAGCTGACCGCAGTGCACGGTTCCTGCTTCGAAGTTAAAAAGTTTAACTTTGGTGCAGCTCTCTGTGACGACAACTCTGCTTGTCCAATTGCAGAGAACCTGACAGACCACAAAGAAAATGGAGGAGAAGCTGATTTTGGTGGATTCATACCTTCTTCTTCTTCTTTGCTGCAGCTCCTCCACCTCATCAGTACAACTAAAGCCAGACTTTTCGCAGACTACATTGTGCACCCAAGTACGCTGCTCAAAAAAATTGCAAATATCTGCTGACCACCTCGTGGAAAGCTTTTTGGTTGTCTAGCAACTGGCGCCCAACCTGCAGGATGTGGGCCTGTGGGCCTGCCCTGGTCACACCATGTCCTATATAAAAACGGCTTTACATCACAAGGCAGCGAACCAGACACTTTTAGAAGTTTTATTTCTTATTGTTCTTTCTTATTCTAAATTATTCTTAAAGAATACTTGTATAATCCACTGTAGTAATTTCCTTTTCTCTTTCCCATTGCAAGGAAAGCTGTAAAATGACAGCTGACTCCTGATCTATTGAAACAACACTAGCATATGGGGGGGGGTTTGGACCTGGACACAGTGTTACGTCACAACTTAACAAGCGGATACTGAGGAGAATCTGGCTGGAAAATGCCAAGATGGCCGCCGCCGTATTCACTATACTTTGGGCCTTACCTTTACATAGAGGTGCACATCTACGTGCACGGGCTATGATAAGTGTTAGTGTCAGGAGCTGCTCTCGGCCACGTTCAGCCAGAGGCCGCTGCCGGGCGTCCGTGACGTCACTCCGTTCTAGAACTCCATGCGTCAGAAGATCAGATGCACTTTCCACGTAATTCCAATGAGAATTGGCTGCGCGCGTACACACCTCCTCGTGCGGCTCCGCCTCTCCTCTGCATTCCCCTCTCTCTCTCTCTCTCTCTCTCTCTCTCCCTATTTCTCTCTCTCTCTCCCCCTCC